AAATGAGTAAGAGCCGCTCTGGTTTGACTTACCATTTGAGCCGGTGCACCCAGGGCCGGAGCCCCTGCCTGCAGCCTGCACCGTGTAGGACAGCGTCCAGCCCCACATGGCTGGAGCAGAGCCTTCCCACCCGATGGGCAAAGACAGGCCCTGCCAGGCCCCACAGCGCGGGAGGGCGTGCCCAGCCTGCTGGCTGGGGCTCAAGCCTGGGCTGCACCCCTCAGCTCTGTGGCCTTGGACCAACCACTGAGCTTCTCGGAGCGGCATCTCTGCTTCTCTGCAAAAAGGGAGAAGCACTCAGGCCCTTGGTCTAGGACGCTGACACCCAGAAGCCGGGCATCAGGCGCGTTTGGCGGATGCAACACAGGCTGACATTAGGTACAGTCTTTGCTCTTTATACCTCTCCCTGCAGAGTCTGGGGTGGTGCTGCCCCAGACGCCACAAGGGACGGAGCATAGGGTGTCTGTCCCTAAAACTGCAAACTGCTGGATTCCAAATCCCAGCTGGCCCCCAGTTTCAGATAAGGGACTGCGGTTCTGTCCTACCCGCACGAGTTTTTATGGGCGTTCAATGTGACAACGCCTGACGGGTTTGGCACCCTGCCTGGCATTTTACATCTGAGGAAACTGAGGCCCAGAGGGAATCCCTGCTGCAGGCCACGCAGTCAGTGGGTGCAGAAGCCAACTCTGAGATGGGCCTCTGGACTGAGCAGTGCTCTCTGTGACAGGGGCTGCTGTGACCTTAGGCAGGTGTCCTGCCCTCTCTGGGCCTCGGTTTCCCCAGCAGCAAATGAGACTGGGTCTGTGCGATCTCTGAGGGCCCTCCGACCCAATGCTTTTGGATTCTAACTATAAGCACGGGAACACCGTCTGGCTCACTTGGGAGACTGCTGTGCTTGTCCGCTTCAGTCTGGAGAAGACAGGGAGTGTGGGGCTTGTTCGACCCAGCACCAGGCTTTCCTCTGAAGTGGGGAGACGACGGCCAGGGCAGTTTCTTATCTTTTTATTATTAATTAACTTATTTTGTTTTGCTTTTTAATTTTTTTTTCAGTTTGTGATCTTCAGCCGTCAGACAGTTTTCCCATTTGTTGTGCTGGCAGAGCCACGGGGTCCAATGTGTGGGCAGCAATGAGGACGAGGGGGCACGAGGGTGAGCTGGGCAGGCGCCACGGGGATGGGTGTGACAACTTAATGACACTGGGCAAGGATTGGACAGGGGACGTTGGAGTCACCAGGCATCTCCCAGGTAGCACACAACAGTGACTGCGAGCGGGGCTTTGAGGTCACACAGACCTGGGTTCAAATCCCACTCTGCTGCTACTTGCCTTGTGACCTTAGGCAAGCCCCTTCCTTTCCCTGGGCCTCAGTTTACTGATCAACAGAATGGGCATCAGAATGATACTCATCTCACTGAATTGAGAAGGTCACGGGGATAAGGCATTCGGCGCCATGGGGGCAGGGGAGCAGGTGCCCAGGACGCTGGCTGTTAGCCCTTCAGGAGCTGACAAAGCCGCAGGGATGGTGTGACCAAGCGGCCAATGCAGAAGACGCACATCCTGCAGGACCGGCCAGGTCTCCTGAGGAAGCCACGTAGCAGAGAGAAAAGATGTGTGCTGTGCATGTGCATGTATGTAGGGGCTGCTGTGCTAGCTGAAAGGGGATTTAGGGCCATAACAGCCAGATATAAGGTTCTGGACATTCTGGGGACAATTACGGGGAAATGTGACGATGGTCTGGCCATTACACATCAGAACATATAACAGGCATGTTGCTAACATCTCTGGGCCTCAGTTTCCTCACTAAGACAATGACTGGGCCTGGCATACAGCAGGGGCTACAAGACAGCCAAGGAGCTGGTCCACGATGAGCTGGGTGCCTGGAAGGGCTGGCCGTGGCCATGCCTGCTCACCTGCCTCCCATCGCCAATCGGAACAGGCTGCCGGCAGTCCCTGGGGGACGTTCTCGGAGCAGAAGTCCTCACGGACAGAAAGAACATTGGCGTAACAACAGGAGCTGCTGTTTGGTATGAGTCACGATATTTGCTCCGTCTCCTGACCTGAGACCTCTGCCAGCCGGGGAAAATCTCTGAGAACGGCCGGCTGTGAGGTGGTGCTACACCCACAACTGGCTGCAGAGGGTGGGTGGGCTCGAGGCACTGAGCTGAGGCCCTGCTGTCCTCCAGCTGGCAGAGAGGGCACGGGGGCTACGCGCTCGCCTCTTGGGAGAGGAAGTTGGGAGGCTGGAAGCCAGTCAGCATTAGCTGTGTTTCCTGAATGTTGATCCCGGGGATTAGCTAAACCGGCTGGTGCTGCACCCGCTCTGTGCACACCCTGACCGTCCTGAGCTCTGAGAGATCTACCGCTTCAGCACAGGCGGTCACAACAAGGAGCAGCTCTTGAGTACTCACTACGTGCCTTTTCTCAACCAATCTTCAGGAAACCTCGATATGGTGGGCATTGTCATTATTTCCAGATTCTCTATGTAGAGACTTCTGCCTCCAGGGGTGGACTGGCATGCCCAAGGTCACATGGCTCATGGGTGGCAGAGATGAACGGGAACCCAGCAGAATGAGCCCTCAAGCACCATGACATGCAGAAATGACCCTGGGGGTCATCTAGCCCAGTGTCCTCAGCCCTGGCTGCACATTAGAATCACCGGGAAGCCAGGAGTCCCACTGAGATTAGTTAAATCAGAATATCTGTGGTTGGGGCCAGACATTCATGGGAGTAACCGAGGCAGACAATGGAAGGGGTGATGCTGGAAATGCAAACTGTCTACAAATGTACTTCAAAGACAGGTGGCCCGTGGGCGGCTGGGGGCAGTGGCGAGAGTGAGAGGCTGTGCTGGCCAAGGCATGCAGGTGGCTGCTCTATGGGGCGAGGGTAATGAGCTGGCCTCCGCCCCAGGACTGACACCCAGTCCTGAGAGTCAGGAAGAGGGAGGGTCTTAGTGAGCAGGTAGGTTCTGAGGCCTGTGGAACCCTCCCCTAGATCCTACACCTGCTAAGGGCACCTATGGGAGCCCTGGGGAGGCTCCCAGACCCTCCTTCAGGCTGGAAACACTGTCAACCAGCACCATCCCCAAGGAAACACCTGTCAGCCCTGGCTGCTGCTTCAAATCACCTGAGAACTTTCAAAAAACACCCAGGCCACGACCCACTCTAAGTGTATCAGAAGCCAGAGGAAACAAGGAGCCCGAGTATAGAAAGCAAGAAACCGCCACAAACCTGCGTCCAGGCAGAAGCACACAGGGGCTGAGGGAGGTGCTGGAGTCAGAGTCTGAGCTGGAATCCTTCCTCTGATGCTGATTAGCTGTGTGGCCTTGGGTGAGTTACTCGGCCTCTCTGAGCTTCAGTGTCCTGATCTGTAAAATGGAGCTGAGACTAGCAATTATAATCCCAGGCTGGGGTAGGTAACAGTGCCCAGCACAGGATAAGGGCTCGGTATGCATACTGTGTGACGCACTGTTCTAAAGGGTAGGGGCAAGGAACTCCCCAGCAGTGACGGGGCCATTGTTACAAGTTAAGCTGGGGCCGGCAAGCTCACATTCCCCTCTTCGGGCCAGCTCCCATTACCCTCCATGAAGACGCTGGGAAAGGCGCCACCTGCCCTCTGGTGGCCAAGGGCAGAAGCGCACTGAGCCATTTTAACCAAATCCTGAAACCCTTGCCCTAGCCCCCACCTTCCTGCCTTGAGTCCATCTCTCAGGCCGGGGACTCCCGGAGCTTCTGTTGGCAACGTGCTAGCTACACGCGTTTCGATGGATGGTGCCATTCCAGGAAGAGCCCGACGCAATACAACATTCAGACCTGGCCAGGCAGGTGCCGGCACGGGGCCCTAAGCCCGTGCGTGTTTTTTCCCATCCATACAGATCAACTCAGAAAGAAAGGAATATTCCAGGCCCACAGCAGCTTGTTTCCAACACTTACGGAAGTCTGTGAATTAGTGGGTGCTCATGATTCTAGGAGCGAGGAAGCTTAAACTTCCCCTTTTTGGAAACGCAGATGGGAGCTGTGCTGGTGGACAAAGAGCCTAGTGCCCTGCCCATCCCAGGACGACCAGGGCCATCTGGGAACCCCCGCGCCATCCCCAAGGCACCCAACCACGGGACCAGTGCCCTTCTCCCTTTCACTCCTGAGGACTCCGCGGGGAAGTGGCCGCAGGAGGGACGAGACGGGAAGCAGGTGCGGGTGTGGGTGGGCTGGCGACTCCCAGACCCTCATCCTTTCTTCGGACGCAGAGGGAAGCACCGTTCACTCAAGATCTTTTTATTCCCCCTTTGCCACCGTTTCTGCAAACCCTCGGGTACAGACTGAAAGAAACTGGGCATCAACCCTGCCTGGGGTCAACCCTTGGGCCACAGGACAGAAGGCAAAGACCACCACCTGGACGCTCCCTAGGGGAGCCCACCATCTAGCTGGAGAGAAGAGCCACACAAAGTGCTGATGGTTTTAAAAGACTGAAGGTGTGAAGGGAGGGTCACCAGCCAGGGGTCTGGGAAGGCTTTCTGGAGGAGGTGGGCCTGGCCCTGAGACAGAGGAGGAAGTGCAGAGGTGAAGGAGGGAGAAGGCACGCTGCCCCGGGAACCAGACCCCTGCACCTGAGCTTTTCGCCAGGTCAGCCAGGGGGTTTGAGGGGAAAGCAGAGGGTCTGGGGAACCTCAGGGAGGACAAGAAAGAGCACCCCATGTCTCAGGTCTGCAGTCCCAGAGACCCGCGCACAGCCCTCTGCCCAGCCGCTGGAGAACGCGGCTCGCAGACCATGTCTTCTGGGCAGCCCAGCCCATGGCAGGCTCCAGGCCCCACTGGTGGTTCTGTAGACACAGCCAATGGAAGAGACGTCACCGGGGCCTGTCAGCGTCAGGAGCTGGGCGCCCTCTGGCCGGCACAGAGGCCAACTAAAGCCCCAGAATAACCCAGGCAGGGGCTTCTTGGCAGGCTGCAACGGCGTGTTTCATCTCAGAGGCCGTCCAGGGCTTGCCGGACGGGGGCGTCCAGGGAGGCGGCCGAGTGGATGGAGACGCCAGGGGCACCGATGCTGGTTTCCCAGCAGTCAAACCCACAGTCGGTCAGCGCCTGCTTCGTGGCCTCCACCTCTGGGCCCTCCAGGTCTGAGGGGAGGGAAAACGGCAGGTCACCTCCCAACCAGCTGCCCTCTTGGAGAACGTCTGCCCCATTCAAGAAAAAGGCGGACTTTCGAGTCACCGAGACCTGGCCTTGTCATGTTTGCTGTGTTGGTGACTAACCACCAGGGGCCCCAGCATTCCCAATGTGAGCCCAGCCCTGTGCCAGGCTCTCTAAATGCACCCCCTCCCCCTTCCGCAATCTTATTAACTAGATATTAGCATCCTTAGTTGACCAATGTGGCAACAAAGGCCCAGAGAAGTTCGTTAACTTGCTCAAGGCCACACAGCAGAGGTGAGACTTGTTTACAGGCTTCCTCCTCCTCCCAAGGGAAACAGTGCCCAGGCAGAACCTTTGTGAGCCCTGCCCGCCCGGTACCTGGCCTGAGGAGAGTGATGCCACAACCACCGCCGCCAGCACCAGTGAGCTTGCTGTGCAGCCCCCGGGCCATGGTCAGCTGGCAGAGCTGGTCCAGTGAGGTGTGGCCCACACCGAGGGCATTCAGGTGGTGCTGGTTCATATCGATCAGCTCCTGGAGGCGAAGATTCAGTCTGTTCCCATTTGGCCTGCCTGAGGCCGGGGCCTGTGCCCGCCCCGCCCATCTGATAGAACGCTGGTTTGAGGCAGCAAATGGCTTTGACTACCAGCACAAGGCCCCTCTCTGCTGGTAAGAAGGGCCCCTCCTTCCTGCAGGACTACCCTGGGGCTGGGATGGAGCTGGTTGTGAACACATGTCCCAGGCCTGGCGACACCTCTGGCCATGGTGACTGGTCGGCACGTGGGCCAAACAGGGCCCTCTCCAGGTTTTCTCGCTCTTTCCACTGGAACTGCTTAAACTGGCTGACTTCAGAGGGAGGCCACCAGAGTGACTGCGCTGCACACGGTCAGGGGTTGCACGGGAGACAGATTTCAGATGAGGCTGTTTAGCCCCTGGATCCAGCTGTGCCTGAAGCTGCCCTCTGGTGCTCTCAGTTATGAGCCAATAAATTCCATCTCTGCGAAAGCCTGCTCGAGATGGATTCTGTCACTTATAGACGTCTCAAGAAAGACCACACCCAAGTGGGGAAACAGTTCAGCTTTCCTTGACTATGCATAATAAAAGTCCTCTCCTGAAGATCCAATGAGATGCAGGTTGAGGAAGTAACAAAACTAACAGCGACCACGCCCAGGCATCCTGTCACTGCGCTTCATTTACTCCAGGAGTGTCTGACAAGCACGCAGGGTGCTGGGATGCTGGGCCGGGAGAAGGAGCACCCAGCTGTGGTCCTTGCCCGGGGAGGTTAGGATGTGGGAGCTGAAGTCAGGCGGCCGGGCGGTGAGAGTCAGCACTCTGCCACTTCAGCGTCGTGCGTCCTGGGCCGCGGCCTCACTGAGTCCCAGCCTGCCCTCTGTAACCGGACGGGAAGAGGGTGCGCCTCACGCGTGAGGATAAAATGAGGAGAGCCTTCCATACAACCCCTGGCCTGAGGCTCTTACAAGCACCAGCAGCCATCAGTGCTGTCGTTACAGTACCACCCCCATTGTACGGAGGGGCAAACTGAGGCTCAGGGAGGAAAGCGCCCTGCCTTGTCACTGAGCTCGTCAGGCACCCAGCCGGCACCAGAAGCCAGGCCTGCCTGACACAGGTCACGTCTACCTACCCTGCCTCGCACGTGCCTGCGCATTCCT